TTGCTGAAATTTATACTTCGTGAAAGTCATCATCTTTTGAGAAAGCTTAAAGAATATCTTTTTCTATTTAAAAACACATTGCCCTTACTTTAGGATAAAATATCACACACATTATCCTGTGTTGAAAGGACGATTTACAAACAGAAATTTCACGCGGAAAAACACCCAGAAGCGAAACAACTATCTGTGGGTCACACAAATCGTTGTCCCGCGTGAGAATCGAACCCACGACCCCCGACGCCGAAGCCAATACCTTGGCAACTGCGCCAAGGAGTCATCAAACTTAGATATATGTCTAAACTAACAATATCTAAAAAAACTTGTTGCTTGTCACAGCAAATATTGTTTTTTTTTTTTATATAAATGGTCGTGAAACGAACAAGTGTTTCACCTGATGTTAAATGGCCGCCGCCCATGGACTACAACAACAGCTGCAGATACGCGAACCTTTAAAAAATGGGTCCCGATTACCTCACTTACCGGCGGATGGCGAAATAATTGCGTTTCAAGCCGGTTCCTTATATCTCCTTGCCCTTTCCAGTTGCCTTTTGTTGGCTATACTTTGTATTATCGAGCTAAGAAGGTAGAAATATAGATACTTTAACCAAATCACCGTAGTTTTACTTTGCACAACAATAACACTGCTATAATTACTTATTTTATCACTTTAATATCCACTAATGAAACACCATTCTAACGATTTAATTTGTGATACCGATTGGGCAGCACTATCGCGTATACTTCTTGTTGACAGCCAGAAAAAGATGACGACCATGAAATGCTTCGTGCAGCTTCATTTATACCTCATATAACGACACTTCTTTTAGTGTTGCCAACAACCTCAAGGAACGACTTCTTTTAATGTTGCCAACACTTTAAAGATTGTCAGAGCATACCTTAGCCTATTCTAGCAACCCAACTACCGTGCTAACTTCTTCTTAATAAATAAAAATGAATGTTGGTAAGCGCATAACTTAAGAATGGCTAGACCAATTCGGCTACTTTATTTTTTTCTATGTTCCTTAAGGTCCACGGAAGGTTTTAGTACTATTAAAAAAAACGAAGTCTGTCCGGATAAATAAAAAGGCGGGTGTTTGGAGTAAAAGAATTGGCCCGGCTACGGGCAGTCCATTAATCACGTGATGTTCTTTTAGCATTTTTAACCCTACTCCTCCCTTGATGATACGTGGTGAGCTTTAGGACCGGTCTTCTGGTAGTTAAATCGTTCATGAAACAGCATAGGCTGCTTCACGAACTGGCACTTCCACTGGCCAAGAAAACTGCTGGGTTTTTAGACTCCATTTCGGCGTAGGGGGTCGTGGGTTCGATTCCCACACGGGACAGCTATTTGTGTGACCCACAGATAGTTGTTCCCGATCTGGGTGTTTGTTTACCAAGGAGGGTAGACGTCAGGCTGGCGGCCGGTCGTAAAAAACATGGCCAAATCAAATTACAACATGATCCACATGTTGTGCCGACCCCACCTAGGTTTGTACGGCGAGTTAGGGTGTCGCTCTCATTGGTTGGGCGTCCGTCTTCATCATCGTTAGTGTAACAAGATCAGGTAAGCCGATTTGGTATTATTTTTTATTTCGGATCGCAAGCAGAACATTACACTTGAACATTTTCTAAAGAAATAATGTTAGCTGTACTTTGTTTTATCGAGCTAAGAAAGTAGAAATATAAATACTTTTACCAAATCACCGTAGTTTCACCTTGCACAACAATAACACTGGTATAATTACTTATTTTATCACTTTAATATCAATAATGAAACACCACTCTAACAATTTAATTTGTGATATCGATTTGGCAGCACTATCGCGTATACTTCTTGTTGATAGCCAGAGAAAGACGAAGATCACGATGAAGACGACAAAGACCATGAAATGCTTCTTGCATCTTCATTTATACCTCACAGAATGACACTTCTTTTAGTGTTGCCAACAACCTCAAGGAGTGATTTCTATTAAAAAAAACGAAGTCTGTCCGGATAAATAAAAAGGCGGGTGTTTGGAGTAAAAGAATTGGCCCGGCTACGGGCAGTCCATTAATCACGTGATGTTCTTTTAGCATTTTTAACCCTACTCCTCCCTTGATGATACGTGGTGAGCTTTAGGACCGGTCTTCTGGTAGTTAAATCGTTCATGAAACAGCATAGGCTGCTTCACGAACTGGCACTTCCACTGGCCAAGAAAACTGCTGGGTTTTTAGACTCCATTTCGGCGTAGGGGGTCGTGGGTTCGATTCCCACACGGGACAGCTATTTGTGTGACCCACAGATAGTTGTTCCCGATCTGGGTGTTTGTTACCAAGGAGGGTAGACGTCAGGCTGGCGGCCGGTCGTAAAAAACATGGCCAAATCAAATTACAACATGATCCACATGTTGTGCCGACCCCACCTAGGTTTGTACGGCGAGTTAGGGTGTCGCTCTCATTGGTTGGGCGTCCGTCTTCATCATCGTTAGTGTAACAAGATCAGGTAAGCCGATTTGGTATTTTTTTTATTTCGGATCGCAAGCAGAACATTACACTTGAACATTTTCTAAAGAAATAATGTTAGCTGTACTTTGTTTTATCGAGCTAAGAAAGTAGAAATATAAATACTTTTACCAAATCACCGTAGTTTCACCTTGCACAACAATAACACTGGTATAATTACTTATTTTATCACTTTAATATCAATAATGAAACACCACTCTAACAATTTAATTTGTGATATCGATTTGGCAGCACTATCGCGTATACTTCTTGTTGATAGCCAGAGAAAGACGAAGATCACGATGAAGACGACAAAGACCATGAAATGCTTCTTGCATCTTCATTTATACCTCACAGAATGACACTTCTTTTAGTGTTGCCAACAACCTCAAGGAGTGATTTCCTTTAGTGTTGCCAACAATAAGTTTAAAGAAATATAATACATAAGTGAATATTCCACTATAAACGAACACATCATGTACACATAAATGATGCTCTCAACATGTAGGTAGACAAGCATTCAAATTATGCGAAATAGAAAATTAAAACTTAATTTGACTTTCATTACCATTTATCCAGTTTATTTTGAATTAAAAAGGATCACAAGATCTTTCTGATTTGACCTGCCCTTTACAAATTCCCTCACTTAACTAATCCTTAGTTGCTTCTACAATCATAACACATTTAAATGATAACACACTCTGGTAATGAACTGATCGCTCCAGGCTCTTTCTTCAATCAGAGTTCTTATATTGTATTTGAAATGAATTCATGTCAAACTGTTTATTTAAAAAAAGAATAAAAATATCCCGCTGAGTTTCTTTCGCCGGTTCTTCTCAGTACAGTGGCTTTCTTTTCCGAACCGGTGGTAGTATTTTGACAATCAATAAGTGAGTGTAACACTCCTATGTTGAATAAGGACATGTGATTTAGATTTTGAAAATCATATTTAAAAAAAAAACTAGATGAAAGAATGGATTTTCAATCCGCGATCACTAGTGATTAGGAGTATAAGGTCAAATATCACATCGTTGAAAATACACAACAAGGGTTATCGATGTGATTGAAAATAATTAAGAAAATTGTACTTTAAAAAGAGTCGCACCTTTTCAAAGTACAATTATTTTCTGAACTACTATTACACTCGTATAGTTTTTATCGCTTCATAGTATAAAACAAAGTGTCCCGCTGTCTGTCTGTCCCTATGTATGCTTAGATCTTATAACTACGCAACGGATCTTGATGCGGCTTTTTTAAATGGATGGAATGATTCAAGAGGAAGGTTTATATGTATAAGACATTGCGTCCGTGCGAAGCCAGGGCGGGTCGCTAGTAATATAATAAAGTCCTTTAAAACTAAACAGCCTATATACATATGTCACTGGCGAGCAAATGCCACAGTCTACGACGCGACCTCAGCCTCACTACTATAAATGATTTGTAAACTTCACAAAGTAAAAAAAGCAAAGTAAAAGCCTATACATTTCCCACTGCTGGGCAAAGGCCTCCTCTGTACAGAGGGTATCAAGGCATAGTCCACCACGCGGTCCTATTGCGGATTGGGGACTTCACATATCTTCGAAATATATTTTTTCTTGTTATTATCTCGTAAATATACAGGTTTCCTCACGCTGTTTTCCTTCACCGTTGAGCGCGTGATAAGTCAGCACTTAAAATTAACATTTTCATTGATGCCAGCCCCGGGGATCGAACACTGAATTAAATTCGAGCGCCCGGACACTGAGCTATCACGGCTCACATCAGACTTCACATATCATCGAAAATATATGCTAGTTTCCATCACAGCTGAACACGTGATAAGTGGGCACTTATATTTTGCAAATTCTTTAGTGCCGGCATCGGGATTTGAACTCGGAGCTAGAGCAACTTCTCTAGGGTACATTGAATTATAAGCGAACGCCAGAGGTATCGTGGCGTAGTGAAGTAAAAGTGTTTATTAGAACATTGTAATTTTCACGAAAATATTTACAGTGTTATTGAGCGGTTAACATCAACGTCGCGGTGTGTGGGTTCGATTCTCGGTTTACCCACTGTAGATAATTGTTGTGGATCTGTATTTTTGTCACAATTTGTGTCTGCGAAACGCCACTACAACGCAGCATTACCTTATCCTATAATAAAGATAATGATTTTATTCAAAGAAGAAAGGAGAATGAATCAACGCGTTGGGACTTATTAACAAATGTGTTCCAACATCTTTTACAACTGTAAATAAAAACCATGCAAATTACATCAGTGTAATAAAAAAAACAGTCGATTGCGGTAAACAAGATGCTCCAGTGTGCAGATATATCAGTTCAGTCCGTACATGTAGGTTCAGAGATGTTCTGCAGTTCTTTAGAGATAAATATTCACATTATCTTTCTTAAAAATTACCCTAATTAACTTTCCACCTGTCTTATTAAATCGGACTGTCGCCCACCGCTTTCTAAACTACTTCAGTTAATGAAACACTGACATTTCTGCATTCGTGACTTCTTGGCGCATACGTGTAATCACTTAAAACTATCCGACCGCGAGAGAGGGACGCGAGAATGGCGAACGCCGGCGTTGGAAAGGGACGGCCGCGCGCTACGCTCCTTTCGCGTGCAGCGGGCCGTGCGCGCATTTTCTATGGCGCCATTTTTCCCACCATTCCTGCCGCGGAACGACATTTTCGCGCCATTCCCGCGTAACGAGGCCGCCTGATGAGACATTGGCACAGCACGAATCCCGGATAACGCATCGATGACCCACATACAATTTACCACGTAATACCAAGTCAAATAAAAGGGGTAGGCAGACAGAAAATAAAACTGTTTCGTACTTAATCCCCATTTTTTTCCATATTTATCTGTTGAATTTAATTTTTTTTATCCTAGATGACAACAAATTTCATATGCGAATACTTTACACATTATACAGCAGAAATAAATATATTCTACTTATCTACGAGAGTTATTTTATTTTAAAACGAGTGAAAAATATCAGATACTTACATACTATAAGTATGTTAAGTATGTACGATATAATTATATCGTTGTATTTCATGAATTGTAGAATGTAAAAAAAAATTAAACTTCTGTGATATTTTACGATGTGGCCCATGTATCTTCAATACAAACATTAATTTGAATGGAAGAGATTGTCCATCGATGGCGCCTTCGACATTTATTGCTTTAAGTTTTTCGTCATTAGCATGTCAAGTCATGTCTCTATTAGATATTTAATAAATTATTAAGGGTGTACATGAAAGTCTTGAAAATAACCTTTAGGTTTTGCCTTCTCTGGTAAATAATAATGGGGTATATTACTAACATTATAAACTTAATTCAGAATTAAAAATAAAATTTAATGCGATAAAATATTTAGGGGGGCTAGGAGAGCAAACCCTTTGTTCCTTTAAGTTGATTAAAAGACATGAAAATTTGAATTATAGCTACTGAGCAAATAAATAATGATGCATTTCATCTTTAGTGAATATTCACATCTTTGGGGTGAAACGGGGAGTGAATTTTTATGGGAGAATATCGGATTTAGAAATAGGTAGCAATAGTAGTATGTGTAGATATGTTTACAGTACTATTCGGCGCTTCATAACTCTTCATCGGGGAAAATCTGAACGGGCCGATGACTCCATGCTACAGTTGCCAAGGCATTGGCTTCGGCGCCGAGGGTCGTGGGTTCAAATCCCACACGGGATAACTATTTTTATGAGCCACAGATAATTGTTTCCGATCTGGGTTTTTGTCCACGTGAAATTTATGTTTGTAAAACGTCCTTACAACACAGGATCATCTAATCCTACAGTAAGGGCATTCCTTTTTTTTTTTTAAATTAAGCTTGTATTTAAAAATACACGTAACGTAAACGTTAACGAAAATTTCTTTTAAACTTTTTTTCCCGACGTTTCGAACACTTCAGCGTGGATGGGACGGACTGATGCGTTGGACGTCTAAATATTATAGTAAGTCTGGGTTACCGTCAGTATTTAATACAATTAGGTGTATCAAACTAGTATATGTCCTATCTAGTATTTTTTTAAAGTAAAATTGTAATATTACATATTTATTAACTTAAAAGGAACAAAAAAAAACAAACCCATATCTCAATCACTCTACATTTTCTGTTTATTTTTGAGATTTTATTGATGATTTGATTTGAGACCTCAGGTATTTTAAAAAAAAGGTTAATAGTTACCAGGAGAATATAAAAACTGTTGCGGGGGTACCTCATTCGCTTTTTCATTGTTTATATTATAAAAAGTCATGTAGATAAAATTACTTGGTTAGAACATTTTAGTTCGCATTATAGCTTTTTATTTTTCTGTTTTTCATTTTTCTGGCCAATAATGATAACTTGAAATAGATTAATTTTGGTATCGTAAAATGTGCTGATGACAAATCACTGAAAGTAATTATTTTGGCGAAATACCGAAATTCGTTCAATAATCGAATACGGAACGAATCCCCGGTTATATTTATAATCTATGGAACGCTTGACAGCTGTTAACAAAAGCGATTCCCGCCAATAGTATTGATTTCAATGTCACGAGAAAAACCCTCCACATGTCCGCTCGTTGACAACTTGATGCCGCGATAATTAATATTATTAATTCATCTTCGTGCCATTACATAGAGGGCTAAATTGTCTCTACCAATAAATAGAATCCAATCTGCGATGTCGGATTTGTAAGTTACCAAAAACTGTACAGTCAAGATCCGAAAGTTAAATTCTGCGTTATCTTTATTTTTTATATGAAACTTAATTTTAAATGAATTATTGATAACAGTGTCGATACATTGTTGCCGGGTAGACTATCAACATTCAGCCGCAAGTAACGTCGATTAGTTAATTTATTTTAGTAAATTCCAGAACATTTTTGTGGTAAAACGTCATTTTAAAGAAAAAAATGCTGCCAGCATTTACTTAGCCGTAGGCGCTACATTTTGTTAATTATACGATGACACGCGGACATTGACATTAATAAACTAAAGTGACATTACGAAATAAAGTACCACATTCTGTTACGTACACTTTTTGTTTAAAAAATACGTAACTTCATATACGAGATCCATATTTGTATGTCAATGTCAATGTCCCGCGTGTCAACCTATATTTAACAGACTATTTTACTAGGTGCGAATAGATAATCTTATTGTTAAAATTATTTGCACTCAACGTTTTTTTCTACGAAAATAAGACAATGAAATATTTATTTCACAATAAAAATATCTTATTACCAAATACATGCGCCATTATTTGTTTTAAATTTTCTCTGTGTAGGGTGAATAGTACTAAAAATAAAAAAAAATTTAATTGTTATCAGATAGTCATTGTAAAAATTATATTGGAGAAAAATATTGGTGTATGGTATGATTCATATTAGATATCGCCAAGATGCAACAAATGCAATTAATAGAAATAAAACATTGAGTATCGACCACTTAGCTTAGTGGTTAAAGCGTCTGTACTCGTAATCCGGAGTGCGCAGGTTCGATTACGCGCAGCGGCGAGAAATTTTACGCGTTTTATTTATATTTTTAAATTATATCATACATTGACGCCCGACTGTCAATTTGACAGCTGATTAGTTAACTTCTACGATGATCAGTGATTCAGAAACCGGGCGTGAGTACTGTGTTCGTCAGCTCGCCCGGGGTTCCAAGTCTGAAAATATTTCAATTCCAGTTTATCAAGAGATACAGAATTATTCAGAGAATATTGAGATAAATTTCTACAACAACTTGAAAACATCTAGCACCATCTATAACAAATAATGTGTCTATCATTATACGTTGTATGTAAATAGATAAATAGGAAATTTTATTCGCTTTTATAATGAGAATTGACAGGTTTTATTCTTTACGGTGGTAGGGCCACGCAGCAGCCTCGGCTGTAGCACGAATGAGCAGGCTCGTCCGGGTAAGTACCAAGGCCTTACAGAAGACTGGCGTAAAGTGGAAGTATAATACTTTCGCGTTTCGTCTGGTGAGTGAAATGGCCGGAGCCCAATTTTCAAAAGGTTGTCAACGCATCTGGAACCCTCGGGTGTAGACGATGTCCATGGGCGGCGGTATTCACTTAACATCAGGTGAACAGTCTGCTAGCTTGGCAACTTTTCACGTAAAAAAAACATGTACGTGCCCACATAGGCTAATGAAAATATGTGTTGTATATTCTATACTATGCGTTGGATCATTCGGTTTACTACAAGATTATCTACTTATCACTCTTCAGTGACGAGTGATAACCTTATTGCATACTTCAGAAGTATTATAGTAATCAGTGTAGAGTGGCTACGCGAAATTGTTTATCTTGACAGAAAGGAAGATTCATATCTTATATATTTATATATTTTTAAAACATGTTGCTAGGAAACAAAATAGACCTAGGTTTGCTGATAGCTAAGACACTGACTTCTGCAACAGGATCGGGTTTGATTCCGACACGGAACAAGAATTTGTGCGGCACAGATTAATTGTTCCAGATCCGTTTTTCTTTATGTGAAAAAGTTGTTAAACGAGCTGGCGGTTCGCCTGATGTTAAGTGCCACCTCAAGTCGGTCGGATCTGTAAAGGCCCCTAAGGCCAACAGTGGCTCATCCAGCCCAAAAAAAAAAAAATTTGAATGCTTCTGTTGCGTACGCTGAGTTACCCCAAATTATTAATCCATATGATAACGCCGAAAAAACATAACCGTAGTATGCGCTTAATGCTGCTTCTTTAGACACCGTTCGTCTATACACGGAGTGCATATACAAACTTATCTAATCTTGTGCAAATCATATCGACATGAGCTTGCCAATTACAATGTTTGTCGTAAATTATTCCTAAAAATTTTACATTATCTACTTCTTCTACTTTTTCAGCATTATGTGTTATGTTGATTGATTTTGTTTTGCTGTTATATGATTTAAATTGTATTAACTTAGTCTTATTTATATTAATTTTAAGATTATTTTTATTTAGCCAATCTATAACGTCAAATAATGCATTATTCATTTTAATTTCATATGTGTCCTTGTTTTTATTTTGTATCAAAATAGTAGTGTCATCAGCAAACAATATGCATGGGTGCTTTATTGCATTCGGTAAATTATTAATATAAATTAAAAATAGAAGTGGCCCTAGTACACTATCTTGCGGGACTCCACATTTAACATAACTATACTGCGAGGTCTTTATAATTTTAGTCACGTTTAATATCTTTGTTATTTCGGTGCACTGCTTTCGATCATTTAAATAACTTGTGATCCATTGTTGTGCATTCCCTCTTATACCGTATCTATACAGTTTATCTATTAATTTGTCATATTGAACAAAATCGAAAGCTCTACTCATATCTAAAAATAGTGCTGTAATAGATAATTTATCATTTAAGCTTTCAGTAACTAATTTAATTAATTGTAAGCGAGCTAAGGTAGTAGAATTATTATTTCTAAATCCAAATTGTTCTTCTCTTAGTATGTTGTTTCTAATGAAATAATCTCGTAAGCGTTTATGTACTATTTTTTCAAAAATTTTTGCAAGAATCGGTATCATTGTAACTGGTCTATAATTACTAATATCGCATGGGTCATCTTTCTTTAGTAAGGGTTTCACTATAGATAACTTTAAACTTTCTGGATATATTCCGTGTTCAATAGATAAATTAATTATATACGATAAGGGAGTACATATATACAGGGCACATTTTTTTAAAATGTCCGTACGTA